ATTCCAGTATTTCCAACACACTCGAATGCGTAGTCCGCCCCTCCATCAGTAATATGGTTAATAAACTGCAAACAGGATACAAACACGCAAAACTTAGATTTACAGTTAAAAAACACAACATCAGGAATTTGTGTGAAAACCTACTCAATTGATGGAATTTCACATAAATTAAATGAGAAAAATAAACCTGATGAATTGGTTGGTCGTGATCATTTGGGTTCAGACTCCAAAAGTCATTGTTGTATCATATGCATATCAACTCACAATTGTTATTAATATGAATCACCATTGTTACATAAAATTTACCTCAGTGTGTTATTTATTTGATTTATATCAAGACAAGCCACGTAAAAGCAGCTCGTAGGAAAGAGAAACCCTTCTCGTAATTCCGAAAATAGTGGCAATTCTGAGTTGCAAACAACCCACAACCCACTTTCCCAACAGGACGCGAAGACTTGATTTGTGCATGGCGTGCCTCAAATTTCTGTGCATCCAAGTTATTCTTGTTTGAAAGTAGAGAAGCTTCAGACAATAAGACCTCAATGCTTAATCGTTGGCCGCCAGGAATATGTGCTGCAAAGATGACTCGTTTTCTGGTCTCGTGCCAGGATTACACATCTTACCCAATAGAGATGCTTCAGAAAGCAGATCGCCTATGCTGATGGCAGATATTAATCCTACTGGCTGCATGACAGGCTTGGTTACCGAATTGGGATCCAATTTATTAACTTTACCCTGCATTGATATTTCGGATATGAGGCCTCTGATACTCAAGTTGGTCAAATTACCATCCCATGGGATGGATGGGTGTACCTGTAAAAGTCTCTCCTTTTAAGAATGATATGCAAAACCAGAAAGTCATGTACATACCAAAGTATAGAATAGGTTGGGAGATAAAGGATGATGCTCAACCTATGCCTCAAAGACTGGTTTAAGTAGTAGAAATTATTTTAGACGAAACATTAGACTTAAGTTGGACAAATATATCCAATGAAATTACTATGAATTATCTACTTAAATGGATAGTAGCATATATTCAAATGTCAATATATCCAATATAATTATTATGAATTATCTACTTAAATGGATAGTAGCAAATATTCAAATGTCGAAACAAGCAAATTGAAATCAATAAAACGGATTTCATCTAATTAAGCTTGATATTCAGCAAACCCGGTTAAAAATTAATCACAAATATCCAAAAGATCTGATTCTTTCTTAAACTATTTCTTATCTGTAGTGGGTGTTTTTTTTATAGTCTATCTCCTCTCTTCCAAGTGAAACATCAATAAAGTTAATTAACTTCAGCTTTTGAAATTGATATTCACCAATATTTAAAGAAATACCTATACACAACTTCATCCTTATGATTATTTACCTTATAATAATTAACATGATTTTTCTGTAAGAAACACTGCCTACCCATATTCTACTTTCTAAAGCTCTCTAGACAAATTGAATTATGAAAATATGGGGTAGAGAATTACCACAAAGTCAGCAGGCACATCTAAAATTTTCTGCTCAGTCACAGCTGTATGCAAAGCATCATTCCCATTGGTCTGATTTTCAAACTCTTCTCTATATTCGTCAAGTTTTTCCAGTCTATGACCCTCGGGAAGACAAGTTTTAGGAGGCGTGCCAAACATGGGGTGCAGAAAATTGGAGCACCAGCCATACCTAGAAACCAAAAATAGTGAGTTGCATTGTTGGAACCGATATTATAACCTTGAGGAAATGAAAGTAACTCGCTTCAGACCTTAGACGGAAAATGGAAGGACTTCCCACATCAGCATACACCTCCCCAGCAGTAGTGGAAGAATCATTCAAAGTCCATCTATTGCATGAAGCTACTTGTTCCAATTTTGTACCGTAAAGAAAAACCATCCGCTGTCCTTTGGCTACACTTGAATTGCCCCATTTAGTATTCAGGTGTCTGACCACTGATGATATCCTCTTCCGAGCACATAGCGTGAGTTCTAGAAACGGGTTGTGACCATCCTGTAAAATATAACCAACCAACAATTTTTAATTCATTTTCTATTATTCATGGAAGAGCAGGGAAAAAAATTTCACACCTTCTCAAATCCCATGCGGGTTTCCTCATTTATCGGGAATAACTGCAGCTTGACCTTTACAGTGGGAATCTGCAGTTGAATTTGAGGCTCCAAATGAGGCATCCTCATACTTTCTGCAGTATAAACACTATTACATGTGACCTTATATAGAAAAGAACTGTTGACGCCAGAGGATAAAAATAATTTTTCAGCACAATAAAGTTTTACACTTTGATAAAAGGTTCATAATTAAGCAAATCAATTTGAACATAAAAGTACTAAAGAGAAACACGCAACCACACACACAAGTAAATGGGAGTAACGCAAATAAAAAATGAAGTCTCCTATGTAGTGGGATAAACTCAGTAGTCAGTAGGTTTCCCACAGGCCACAACCAATACTAAAAAACAATTTGGTTGCTCAACCTGTAGCTTTCTGAGACAAAACTCCCGCACGAATTCATACAACTTTATCTTATCCATTTTTTTACATGTGTCCGATGGTTACCCACACAATTGTCAATTAATAAGTAATCTAAAACAGTGAAAATTTTATCCAAACAATGAATTTCAACAAATTACGAAAAAAATAGTACATTAACATAACACTCAGTCAAGTATAACATGCTTTAATAAACAAGTGCATAATTTCATATAAATCGTCCCAAATTTCTTACTGTCCAGTTTCATAAACCCACAAGCAATACAAGTTTCACATAATTATTTTCTTGACCGAAGTAGAAGTTTGATATACTGTATACAAAAAACATATCTCTACCTGGAATCGGTGGAGCACCAAGAACAATGGGCCCACCAGAAACCGCTGTATGACTTCCAGTCGGCGGATTAGACATCCAACCAGCAAAAGGAGTCAGGACAGGTGCCGGAGCAGGCTGGAAGGGCTGACCAAATATATAGCCACATTAAGAAAAACATAATAAACCCTAACACAAAGCCACTGCTAACAAATATCCATAAAGCTCACCACATGTGCACCGAGAGGAGGAAAGCCACCGGGTTACGGCACAACCCCAACAAGCAAAGGATAATTAACTGGTGAGGGAGTATGTGCTCCATTTTGCTGCCGCATGAGTGATCCACGAAGAAGGTTTTGATATCCGGGTTCGGCCTTGGAGTTTTACAAAGTTGGTGCTGCCAGTTTAAGCTGCAAATGAATATTGCCTCAATTTTCTCTTTGCAATGAAAATGATAATAGCAGCCTCAAGTGGACATTCACCGGACAATTAATATCAAAGCAAAGTCTTGAAATTTACATATAAAAACTTCCCATGATATACATCAACAGGCAGTGCTGCACACGACCATATTTCAAAACAATGATTATACAGAAAGAAAGGATTTGATATCCACCTTTGGTTGATGAGAGTTTGCAGTCTTGAGTTCTTAAGGATAATGAACTGTAACTTTTTGCGAAACAGGGGATTAGCCTCGATTAGCTTCATAAACTCGACGAGCATGATAGCTCTTGCGGATTTTGTGTCTCCATATTTTATGTCACCATACTTTGCCAGCTGCTCATATAGCGCTCATAAACCAGTCATGTGAAGAAAATACCCGAAAAAGTGAAACTGCCCCTTGAATTGGCCATTGTAGGGAGAAACTTGCTTCCTAGCCTCGAATTCAAACTCAACCATTTGAATAAGCATTTTTCTCGGTTTCGATTTTGGCACCCTATAGGGTACATATGAAAATATAAAAACATGTTGGTCTAGAAAACATAAAATTTACCAATATTAGTCTAGAACTTGCATCCACAACTTGTTGGGAATATACTGGGTATGTTGATGATGATGTATTAGTCTAGAACTTGCATCCACAACATACTTTGCAAGAACTACCCTATACCAGCTATCAAAATCTAACATACTCGAACAATTAAAAATTTAATTCTTCAGTCACCACATATTTGAACAAGATTGGGATTCTTATAAACCTATATATAAATCCAGTGTAAGCGGCAAGTACTGTATTTTAGTGATATCTTCAAACACGAATCAAATATCGCATTTTGGAATATATTAATCAGAAAAATAAGATTCTTATTTTAGTATTTCTCAGTTTTTAGATTTTCATGTATTCATTCAAATACCAAATCGAGCTAAAAATATAGAATTTTTTTATAAAACTACAGTACTCAAAAAAATATAACATCCATAACATGCAAAACATGACCGCAATTAGGAGTCCTAGAAGCTTAAGCTCGGATAGAAAAAACTCATACCTGGACATTTCCATGAGGATCTCTCTCGAGCATCAATTGTTCTTGGATTGCAGTGGGCAGAATATCAAAAAGCTCTGAGGGCTATGCTTCTTTTTCTAATGTCCAGCCTCATCCACAACTTCATGAGCCAAATCTCATTTAGTTCTGCAATGAGCTGTGAACCTGCAAATGAAAAGAAATAAGACATTAGGTAAGAGAGCAACAAAACAATATGAACGGTTTATGTTTTGCACACTATCAATAATTTTGCATCTTTTTGGGATTTTTGCATTCACTTCAAAACGCAGAACCTGCTTTTCAATGGACCTTAGTCAGTTGTTGAAGAATGGAAAATTAAGGTCTGAAAGTAAACCCATATGGAGAATTCAAAAGTCATTGTAAAAACCACACAAATTACCTCTTGCCATAATATGTTCTGTATTATTCACAAAGACATACACACATATATATAGATACATAGAAGGCCTAAACCTAACTTATTGTACAAGAAACCATTTAACATAACTAACACCCCCCCTCAAACTCAAGGTGGTATAGTGGAGATCAACTTGAGTTTGCTAAGAAGTAAACAAAAGCGACCGGGAAGGAGAGACTTCGTGAAGACATCCGCTGGTTGATCTATAGAGGAGACAAAAACAAGCTTCACAGTCCCATGTGCAACATGCTGTCGAATGAAGTGACAGTCAATCTCAATATGCTTAGTACGCTCATGAAATGTATCATTATGAGACATCTTTATAGCACTCTGACTATCACAATGTAAAGCAATAGACACCGACGGAGGTGCACCAAGATCAGCAAGTAGTCGACGCAGCCATAATAACTCTAAGGTGGAATCAGCAAGAGCACGATACTCAGACTCAACACTCGATCTGGAAACCAATGTTTGCTTCTTACTGCGTCAAGAGACAAGTGAATCACCAAGAAAGAAGCAGTACCCAGTAATAGAACGACGATCAGTAGGATCTCCAGCCCAATCTGCATCAGAATAACCGCTAAGCGTCAAAGAAGAA